CTCAGAGACGACCCGGGCGGTAGAAGAAGACATCGTCCTCAGTATCAGGGTCTCTGGATCTATAAATGTTCTAGAAATGATGAATTATGAGCGTTCTCCTCTCCTCCATTCATGGAAGGTAGAATGTTGGCTCTCAGAGACGATGGGTGAGGCTCTGGAGAAGTCTTGGAGGTGAGCATGGGAGGAGGCAATGAAGGAAATAGAGAGCAGAAGGTATTATGAAGAGTGGAGAGGACAGGTTGGGTGATACGGTGAGCTGAGGTTGGTGATGTCGCTCGGGGAAAAAATTGTGGATGGCTTTGAATTATATGGTTAGTATTTTTATATTATATTTCTTTAGGTGAATGGAGGCTAGTGGAGGGATTGGCAGAGGGGGGTGGAGGACACTGAATGGAGGCCAGTGGAGGGATTGGCGGAGGGGTGCAGGACACTGAATGGGGACCAGTGGAGGGATTGGCAGAGGGGGGTGGAGGACACTGAATGGGGACCAGTGGAGGGATTGGCAGAGGGCTGGAGGACACTGAATGGAGGCCAGTGGAGGAATTGGCAGAGAGGGCTGGAGGACACTGAATAGAGACCAGTGGAGGGATTGGCAGAGAGGGGTGGAGGACACTGAGTGGAGGCCAGTGGAGGGATTGGCAGAGAGGGGTGGAGGACACTGAGTGGAGGCCAGTGGAGGGATTAGCAGAGATGGGTGGAGAACACTGAGTGGAGGCCAGTGGAGGGATCATCCTCGGTATCAGGGTGTCTGGATCTATAAATGTTCTAGAAATGATGAATTATAATCGTTCTCCTCTTCTAGAATGGTAGAATGATGGCTCTCGGAGACGACCCTCTCCATCTCCATCACCTTACTGACCAGTCCAATAAAATCCATCAACAACAATCTTCATTGTTCTTTTATTCCAGGCTCTCTGTCCAATGGCATCCAGAAGATATTAGGAACTATGTTCTCAGAGGTGGAGAGAGGAGAGAACAGTAAGTCACCAACCACCAGAATATGTTACATGGGGGTGTGACCCCCCCCCCAAGGCTGCAGTAACAGCAGAAGGGGGGGCAGGGCATAAATCTGTCAGGGTTGGGGCCATCCACAATCTATGTCACCCAGTCAGGGGCAGAGTAGATGAGATGGGGACAGATTGGTGTAGGAAGTTCCAGAGGATGGGAGGGGCTCTGGACAGATTGGGGTAGGAAGTTCCAGAGGATGGGAGGGGCTCTGGACAGATTGGGATAAAAGTGTTCCAGAGGATGGGGGAGACTCTAGGCATATTGAGGTAGGAGGTTCCAGAGGATGAGAGAAGCTATCGACAGATTGGGGTACGGAGTTCCAGAGGATGGGAGAGGCTCTGGACAGATTGGGGTAAGGAGTTTAAGAGGATGGGAAAGGCTGTGTACAGATTGGGATAGGGAGTTCAAGAGGATGGGAGAGGCTGTAGATATAGATTGGGGTAGGGAGTTTCAGAGGAAGGAGGGGGCTCTGGACAGATTGGGGTAGGGAGATCCAGAACATGGGAAAGGCTATGGACAAATTGGGGTAGGAGGGAGTTTCAGTGGATGGAAGAGGCTCTGGAGAAATAGAGAGCAGAAGGTATTATGAAGAGTGGAGAGGACAGGTTGGGTGATACGGTGAGGCTGAGGAGGTTGGTGATGTCGCTCGGGGGAAAATTGTGGATGGCTTTGAATTATATTGTTAGTATTTTATATTATATTTCTTTAGGTGAATGGAGGCCAGTGGAGAGATTGGCAGAGAGGGGGGTGGAGGACACTGAATGGGGACCAGTGGAGGGGGATTGGCAGAGAGGGCTGGAGGACACTGAATGGAGGCCAGTGGAGGGAATTGGCAGAGAGGGCTGGAGGACACTGAATAGAGACCAGTGGAGGGGATTGGCAGAGATGGGTGGAGGACACTGAGTGGAGGCCAGTGGGGGGATTGGCATAGAGGAGTGGAGGACACGGAATGGAGGCCAGTGGAGGGATTGGCAGAGAGGGGTGGAGGACACGGAATGGAGACCAGATGAAGGATTTGGCAGAGAGGGGTGGAGGATACTGAATGGAGGCCAGTGGAGGGATTGACAGGGGGTGGAGGACACTGAATGGGGACCAGTGGAAAGATTGGCAGAGAGGGGTGGAGGACACGGAATGGAGGCAGTGGAGAGATTGGCAGAGAGGAGTGGAGGACACGGAATGGAGGCCAGTGGAGGGATTGGCAGAGATGGGTGGAGGACACGGAATGGAGGCCAGTGGAGAGATTGGCAGAGAGGAAAGGAGGACACGGAATGGAGGCCAGGGGAGGAATTGGCAGAGGAGGGGTGGCCAGGACACAGAATGGAGGCCAGTGGAGGGATTGGCAGAGAGGGGTGGAGGACACTGAACGGAGGACCAGTGGAGGGATTGGCAGAGAGGGTGGATGACGCTGAATGGAAACCAGTGGAAGGATTGGCAGAGAGGGAGTGGAGGACACTGAAATGGAGGTCAGAGGAGGGATTGGCAGAGAGGGGTGGAGGACACTGAATGGAGGCCAGTGGAGGGATTGGCAGAGAGGGGTAAAGGAGACCTGAATGGAGTCCAGTGGAGGGATTGGCAGAGAGGGGTGGAGGACACTGAATGGAGGCCAGTGGAGGGATTGGCATAGAGGGGTGGAAGACACGAATGGAGGCCAGTTGAGGGATTGGCATAGAGGGATGGAGGACACTGAATGGAGGCCAGTGGAGGGATTGGCAGAGGGGTGGAGGACACTGAATGGAAGCCAAAGGAGGGATTGGCAGAGAGGGGCGTGGAGGACACTGAATGGAGACCAGTGGAGGGATTGGCAGAGAGGGGTGGAGGACACTGAGTGGAGGCCAGTGGAGGGATTGGCAGATGAGGGGTGGAGGACACTGAGTGGAGGCCAGTGGAGGGATTGGCAGAGAGGGGTGGGAGGACACTGAATGGAGACCAGTGGAGGGATTGGCAGAGAGGGGTGGAGGACACTGAATGGAGACCAGTGGAGGGATTGGCAGAGAGGGGTGGAGGACATCTGAATGGAGGTCAGTGGAGGGATTGGCAGAGAGGGGTAAAGGACACTGAATGGAGGACCAGTGGAGGGATTGGCATAGAGGGGTGGAGGACACTGAAGGGAGGCCAGTGGAGGGATTGGCATAGAGGGGGTGGAGGACACTGAATGGAGGCCCTAGTGGAGGGATTGGCATAGAGGGGTCCTCCTTCTCTATCTCGGTTCCCCACTCCTTCTCTATCTCGGTTCCTCCTTCTCTATCTTGGTTCCTCCTTCTCTATCTCGGTTCCTCCTCTTCTTCTTGGCTCCTCCTTCCTATCTTGGCTCCTCCTTCTCTATCTCGGTTCCTTCTTCTCTATCTCTTTTCCTTCTTTCTCTATCTCGGTTCCTCCTTCTCTATCTCGGTTCCTCCTCCTTCTCTATCTCGGTTCCTCCTTCTCTATCTCGGTTCCTCCTCTATCTTGGCTCTCCTTCTCTATGTTGGTTCCTCCTTCTCTTTCTCGGTTCCTTCTCTTATTTGGCTCCTGCTTCTCTATCTCTTTTTGTCTCCTTCTCTCCTTTCTCGATTTCTTCTTTCTATCTTGGTTCCTCTTTCTCTATCTCGGTTCCTCCTATTCTTGGCTCCTCCTTCTCTGTCTTTCATCTTCCTCCTTCTTCTATCTCGGTTCCTTTTTCTATTTTGGTTCCTCCTTCTCTATCTTGGTTCCTCCTTCTCTTCTTTTTTTTTCCACTTTTGGCTCCTCCTTCTCTCTATCTTCGTTCCTCCTTCTCTTCTCGGTTCCTTTTTCTCTATTTTTGGTTTCTCCTTCTCTATTTTTGTTCCTCCTTTCTATTCTTGGTTCCTCCTTCTCTTTTCTTGGTTCCTCTTCTCTTCTCTCGGTTTTCTTCTTCTCTTCTCGGTTCCTCCTTTTCTCTTCTTTTCTGCTCCTTTCTTCTTTCTTCCTCCTTCTTTTCTTCTTTTCTTCCGTCCTTCTTATCTTTTTCCTCCTCTATTCTTTCTCCTTTCTTTTCTCCTCTTTTTCTTTACTCTTTTCTTGGCTCCTCCTTTCTTCTTGGTTCCTCCTCTTCTCGTTCCTCCTTCTCTTCTCGGTTCCCTCTTTTCTTTCTTCTTTTTCTTTTTTCTTCTTGGTTCCTCCTTTTTTTCTTTTTGGTTTCTCCTTCTCTTCTTTTCTCCTTCTCTATCTTTTTTTTTTCTTCTCTTCTTGGTTCCTTCCTGCTCTATTTCAGTTTTCCTTCTCTATCTTGGCTTCCTTTCTCTTTCTCGGTTCCTCTTCTCTATCTTGGCTTCCTCTTTCTCTATCTCGGTTTTTTTTCTCCTTCTCTTCTCTCTCCTTTTTTCCTTCTCTATTTTTTTTTCTTCTTGTCTATTTTGGTTCCTTTTGCTTGTCTATCTTGGTTCCTCTCTTTTTCTATCTTGGTTTTTTCTCCTCTATCTTGGCTCCTTTCTCTTCTCTTTATCTTCTCCTCTTTTTCTATCTTAGCTTCTCTTCTCTATCTCGGTTCCTCCTTCTCTATCTTTTTCCTCCTTCTCTCTCTTGGTTCCTCCTTTTTCTATCTCGGTTCTTTTCTTCTCTATCTCGGTTCCTTTCTCTATCTCGGTTCCTTCCTTCTCTATCTTGGTTCCTCCTCTATATTGGCTCCTCCTTCTCTATCTCGGTTCCTCCTTCTCTATCTCGGTTCCTCCTTTTCTATCTTGGTTCCTCCTCTATATTTGGCTCCTCCTTCTCTATCTCAGTTCCTCCTTCTCTATCTCGGGTTCTCCTTCTCTATCTTGGTTCCTCCTCTATATTTTCCTCCTTCGCTGTCTTTGTTCCTCCTTCTCTATCTTTATTCCTCCTTCTCGATCTCAGTTCCTCCTTCTCTATCTTGGTTCCCTCCTTCTCTTCCACTTTCTCTTTCTGTATCTCCTGTTCCCCCCCCCCATAGGGACATCACACATGCTGACACACCATCGGTCTGCGGTGAAGCATGGGAAGAGAAGAACAGCAGCTGCTATTACTCCTCCTGGATGGCCCAGCCGTGGAAGTTTGCCATGAAGGAATGTGAGCACCGGAAGGCTCATCTGGTGGTCATCAACAGCGAGGAGGAGATGGTGAGGATTGGGCAACTTGTAGACGTAAAGGGGACAACAATCACCCGATGGCCAATACTCAGTCAACCAGAACCCATTCTAGCCTGGGGTCACTGGGATCACTGGGACCCCCATTCTGCCCACAGAGGACAGGATAGGCTGGGAGGGGCCTAAAGCTGAACTCTGGGATAAGTAAATGTTGTCTAAATACTCTCCCTATGTGGTGGTCATAGAGAGGGAGATCTGTGGAGACAGGTCCTCTTCTTATTCACAGTGCGGTGGTCAGAAGTACTGTATGTAATGTACAATATAGCCCACAGAGTGTAGGGGTCAGGGTTATGGCATGTATAACACAGTGTACAGAGTGCAGTGGTCAGGAGTATGTCATGTACAACATGGTACACAGAGTGCAGTGGTCAGGAGTATGTAATGTAATGTGCAGTATAGTGTACAGAATGCAGGGGTCAGAAGTATGTTACTTAAAAAACAGCATATAGAGGGCAGTGGTCAGAAGCATGTAACATACAGCACAGGGTATAGTGCTCAGGAGTATGTAACATAATGTACAGCACAGGGTACAGTGGTCAGGAATATATAACATACATCACAGGGTACAGTGGTCAGGAGTATGTAACATACAGCACAGGGTACAGTGGTCAGGAGTATGTAACATGCAGCACAGGGTACAGTGGTCAGGAGTATATAACATACAGCACAGGGTACAGTGGTCAGGAGTAAATAACATACAGCACAGGGTACAGAGGTCAGGAATAAATAACATACAGCACAGGATACAGTGGTCAGGAGTATATAACATACAGCACAGGGTACAGTGGTCAGGAGTATGTAACATACAGCACAGGGTTCAGAGGTCAGGAGTATTTAATATACAACACAGGGTACAGAGGTCAGGAGTATTTAATATACAACACAGGGTACAGAGGTCAGAAGTATTTAATATACAGCACAGGGTACAGAGGTCAGGAGTATGTAATATGCAGCACATGGTACAGAGGTCAGGAGTATGTCACATGCAGCACAGGGTACAGAGGTCAGGAGTATGTAACATACAGCACAGGGTACAGAGGTCAGGAGTATGTAACATGCAGCACAGGGTACAGAGGTCAGGAGTATGTAATATGCAGCACATGGTACAGAGGTCAGGAGTATGTCACATGCAGCACAGGGTACAGAGGTCAGGAGTATGTAACATGCAGCACAGGGTACAGAGGTCAGGAGTATGTAACATACAGCACAGGGTACAGAGGTCAGGAGTATGTAACATACAGGGTACAGAGGTCAGGAGTATGTAACATACAGCACAGGGTACAGAGGTCAGGAGTATGTAACATACAGGGTACAGAGGTCAGGAGTATGTAACATGCAACACAGGGTACAGTGGTCAGGAGTATGTAATATACAGCACAGTGTAATCACATTGTAAGAAATCCTCTCATTGTTACCAGACGTTCCTGCGTTCTCTTACATACTCGTCAACCTTTTGGATCGGTCTTTTTTCAGAGAAAGGGTCTTGGAAATGGGTGGATGGAACTTCATATGAAGAGAATCCAAAGTAAGGAACCCGAACATAAAATGTCTTCTCACGTCGCTCCTATAAAGTCCCATTGTGGGGAGATGTCTCATTTTGATGTGTGGCTGTGGTGGGACCTTTTACACACAAACCCGTGAAGGTCAGGGGGGCCTCCTCACACCATGTCACGGTTTAATTCCTTGAGGTTTGAAGAGATCCTTCAGAGCTTTGCTCGGCCCGGTACCTAGTTCAGATGTACTGTTGTTTTGGTGCTGTCAGCCAGCAATGGGCTTCTATCTTCATGTGTGGTGGGAATGTCCCGACCTGCCTGTCCATAAGACATGGTGCATAGCAATAGACAGAGATGGCCTACAGGAAGATATGGTTGGATTGGATCCTATATAAAGAGAAACGATTTAAAGATTGTGTATCCCACTCTCGTATTGAAGTCGTTGAGGCCTCTGGCTTCTCTGGCTTCCTCACCCTATTCCAGCCTTTATGGGGGATATGGACCTCATACTATACCTGACAAAATTGTGGAGTGTCCACAGGTGAGGGACACTCCATGAACCCTCACCCTAGTGACCTCAACATCTACTTTTCCCTCCTTCCTACCATTTCCTCCTTCTCAACGCTCAACCAACTCCCCTTTCCTGACCATAATCCCCCCACCCACCACCCCCTATTAAAAAGTGAGAGTGCACCCATCTAGAACTGACACACCCGTAACCTATTAAGTCCAACCGTAGAATGTTTTATCTCCCTGACATTATATATCTTGTGTAGTGAGCATTATCCTTGTCATCTTTATATGTGACAACCCCGAGGAGTGCTGGGATGACAAGCTTATGTGTAGACACCTAGAGGAACCTCCTGTGACCATCCAACGGGGAATTAGAAAATTTGAAGTAGTGAGTCAATTCTGACCAGTATCAGCCACGGGCCAGTCACTGATGTCTTCTTTTTCCCGCAGGTTCTGGTTCAAAGGTCAGCCCGATAATTGGTTTGGCCATGGCCCCTGGAGGGTGGGGAAGATTGCGCTCAGTTAGTAGAAAGATGGTTGGACTGATGTTCACTGTACGCTCCCGCTTCCCGTTCGTCTGTGAGAGAAGAAGATATCATGACCTGCTTTGTGAAATACCATCCTGCTCCACCATGCTGCTGTGAAGAAGAAACTACTAACTGGATAAAATTGATCCCGCAGGGCATTCTGGGACTTGAGCTTCATTCAGGAAGAGATGATCTGAGAAGGTCCACATACTTTCTCCAATCTTCATATACTTTTACTGCCCCTTCAACTAAGATTGCCAACAAAAAAAAATGTTCTGATGTCTAGAAACAATGTATTTCCTTCCAAATATTGGCATTGCTGTATCTGTATACCTAGAAACTCGTTTTCTGAGTCTTGGCCTCCTCAGTCTCCTTGGTGGTATAGTGTTTTCAGCCTTACCCCTGAGTGTGGTCACTGCAAAATCATAAGTAATGATGATAACCATGTGCTCCTAAAGTGCCTCTGATCAGATCTTCCACCATGACCAAATGGTGTGGTGTGAAGGATTTCCCACCTTCCCATACTGGTCTGTGTCATGTGAAGTCATGTGAAGTGTCTGAAGATGCAAACTTCAAGCTTCACGTGCTCAGCAAGACTTTGTACCATTAAGGGTTTGCGTTGGTGCAGCAGGTCCTCCAGAGTCCAGACTGATGGTGATGAGACTCTCTGTCCCAGACTTTACCCTGCAGCTTCCTAGATCCGGGCTGCTCATTTCCGGTGCTGTAATATTGGCACACGCACTTGTGGCACAAAGTCTTTCTGGCAGTAAGTTATAGGCGATTGCCTCTTCCCAAACATATGTGATGCTGAGACATGTAGTGCATGCGGGGGTTCATCTCACTATAAACACCAACCCTAAATGTTAGCCACAGAAATGATGAACCCTGATTGACAATGCCCTGATTGACAATCTCTCTGCCCCCCTTTCTAAATTCTAACTCCACCGACCCTTCTCTCCATCCCCAACTCAATCCCATTCCTTTTTCCAGTCCCCACTCTATTCCCTTTCCCGCTCTGTCTCTATGAACTTGGTTCCACTCCTGTACCCATCCATCCCTACCTACCACTCCACCCCACCCTTCTCCACCCTCCTCTCCACCCCAACTCAGTCCCAACCTCCTCTCCATCCCAACTCAATCCTGCTCTACTTTCCAGCCCCCACTCTATTCCCTCTCCCGCTCTGTCTCTAAGAATTTGGTTCCACCCCTCTACACATCCATCCCTTCCTACCACTCCACCCCACCCTTCTTCACCCTTTTCTCCATCTTCAAAACTCAGTCCCCACTCCCCGTTCCAGTCCCCACTCTATTCCCTCTCCCGCTCTGTCCTTATGAACTTGGTTTCACTCCTGTACTCTTCCGTACCTTCCTACCACTCCACCCCACCCTGCTCCACCCTCCTTTCCATCCCCAACTCAATCCAGCTTCCCTTTCTATTTCCCACCCCCTATTCCCTCTCCTTCTCTATCCCTATGAACTTGGTTCCACTCCTCTACTCATCTGTACCTTCCTACCACTCCACTCCACTCCACCCCACCCCACCCTTCTCCCACCCTCCTTTCCATCCCCAACTCAATCCAGCTTCTCTTTCTATTTCCCACTCTATTCCCTCTACGGCTCTGTCCCTATGAACTTGATTCCACTCCTCTACTCATCTATCCCTTCTTACTACTCCACTCCACCCTGCCCCACCCTCATCTCCATTACCCACTCAGTCCCCACCTCCTCTCCATCCCCAACTCAATCCTGCTCCCCTTTTCAGTTCCCACCCATTTCCCTCTCCCACTCTGTCCATATGACCTTGGTCTCCCTCCGCTATTCATCCATCCTTTCCTACCACTCCACCCCACCCTTCTCCTCCCTCCTCTCCATCCCCAACTCAATCCCATTCTCCATTCCAGCCCCCCCCCCCCCCCCCCCCACACACACACTCATTTCCCTCTCCCTGTATTCCCTTTTGACCTTGGTCACTTTCCATTGTCCATCCATTTATTCCTAACACTGCATTTCCACACTTCTCCACCCCTTCCCATCCTTCACACTGCTCCCTCCACACCGGAGTTTATTTGTACTCACCTGTCATTGAGTTTATAAGCTAACAGAACATTCTGTGGAGGACATTCAGATCAGGTAGATTAAAGGTCAATAACATCCCGAGTCAAGACCAGCTTGGGGTCCCCATATTCTGTCATTGGTTCACATTTTCATCTCTACCTGTAAACACAAGGGGAAGTGTTTCAAAGCATATGTTTTGCATTAAAAGAAATGTTAGAGATTGGGAACTGACTTATGAAGGTGAAAGAGGTCAGATGGGTGAAAAAGGGGAGGCCCAGTGCACAAACCATAGGATCTCAGTGGAGGCTAATCTCATGGGTGGGCCAGTGCACATACCAGAGACAGTTCACATAAAGCCTTGTCTAAAGGAGGTCAAGTGCACACACCAGAGATCGTCCCAGTGGGGGCGTATGCCAGTGGAAGCCCAGGAAACCCAAACAGAAATAGTCCCAGTGGAGGCCTATGTCAGAGGAGGCCCATAAAACCCACCAGAGACAGTCCCAGAGGTGGCTTATTACAGAGAAGACTCAGTACATACACCAGAGACAGTCCCAGTGGGGACCTGTGTCAGAGGAGGCCCAGGAAACCCACCAGAGACAGTCCTAATGGAGGTATATGCTAGAAGAAGCCCAGGAGACCCACCAGAGACAGTTCCAGTGGAGGCGTATGTCAGAGGAGGTCCAGGAAACCCACCAGAGACAGTCCCAGTGCAGGCTTATTTCAGGCGAGGCTCAGTGCACACACCAGAGACAGTTCCAGTGGAGGCTTATGTCAGGGGAGGTCCAAGAAACCCACCAGAGACAGTCCCAGTGGAGGCTTATTTCAGGTGAGGCTCAGTACACACACCAGAGACAATCCCAGTGGAGGCTTATGTCAGGGGAGGTCCAAAAAACCCACCAGAGACAGTCCCAGTGGAGGCTTATTTCAGGCGAGGCTCAGTGCACACACCAGAGACAGTTCCAGTGGAGGCTTATGTCAGGGGAGGTCCAAGAAACCCACCAGAGACAGTCCCAGTGGAGGCTTATTTCAGGTGAGGCTCAGTGCACACACCAGAGACAGTTCCAGTGGAGGCTTATGTCAGGGGAGGTCCAGGAAACCCACCAGAGACAGTCCCAGTGGTGGCATATTTCAGGCGAGGCTCAGTACACACACCAGAGACAATCCCAGTGGAGGCTTATGTCAGAGAAGGCCCAGGAGACCCACCAGAGACAGTCCCAGTGGTGGCTTATTTCAGAGAAGACTCAGTACACACACCAGAAACAGCCCCAATGAAGGCTTATCTCAAGGGAGGCCCTGCACACACACCAAAGGCAGTCCCCATGGAGACTTATTTCAGGGGATGCCCAGTGCACACACCAGTTAAAGGCCCAATGAAGGGTTATTTCGGGGATGCCCAGTGCACACACCAAAGACAGTCCCAATAGAGGCCTATTTCAGGGGAGGCCAGTAAACACTAGAGACAGTCTCAGTGGAGACTTATCTCAGAGGAGGCCCAGTACAGACCAGTTCCATCAAAAAACATCAGCAACTAAACCAGTTTGATATTTCACCCTGGACTGTTGCCACCTTTTCCAAACCCTCAACCCAACACCCCCCAAACTAACTGTCCTACTTCCACAATCCTGGTGTTCAGGAACTCAGAACTTCATGTACCAGAACAAACCTACACCGTACTATAGAAATCACAAACTATTTGATACCACAATGAATCGCAGCTACTGATCTGGGTTTAAAAGCCATTCCCTGCTCTATGGAGATAGGAGGACCCCCTATATGTACAGACCCCTTCCGGCTTATTCTTTATTAGCGGAAACCTACAGCAACCAATCAGAAATCAATGCTTCATCCTTTATTGTTGTTCTCCAGGAGAAATATTGATTCACATACAGTGATTGGTCAGTGAGAATCACACAAGATTGTATAAAAATACTCTGTACGGTGGGAAAATAAAGTGCACTGTATTCATATTCGGAGTGTCTGGTAATGAAATTAGTCTCAAAAAGGTTGATTTGTAGGGAGAAAAAAGGGAAGACAACGTACATCTGTTGAGGCTGCGGTCAACTTAAGCGGTAGATACAACCTTGTGTGTGAGCAGGTGGAGAAAAACCCTGTCTTTACGCAGGAAGAAGGTTGGTCGTATCTCAATGCCATGGGGGTCAGAGTCCTGGATCCTCAAAGGGGTTCTCATGCAGGTGTTAAAGACAAGGTGGGTTCAGGGAGCAGCAGAGGCGCCCATTGTTGTCAATCTTAGAATAGGATGGAGTCATCCAGAACTATTAAAGCCCATTGGTTGTCCAATCAACAGAAACGGCCATTATTGTCAATCTAAGAATAGGTTGGAGTCATCCAAAACTAATAAAGCCTATTGGTGGAGTCATCCAAAACTAATAAAGCCCATTGGTTGTCCAATCAACAGAAGCGCCCATTATTGTAAATCTAAGAATAGGTTGGAGTCATCCAAAACTAATAAAGCCCATTGGTGGAGTCATCCAAAACTAATAAAGCCCATTGGTTGTCCAATCAACAGAAGCTCCCATTATTGTAAATCTAAGAATAGGTTGGAGTCATCCAAAACTAATAAAGCCCATTGGTGAAGTCATCCAAAACTAATAAAGCCCATTGGTGAAGTCATCCAAAACTAATAAAGCCCATTGGTGGAGTCATCCAAAACTAATAAAGCCTATTGGTGGAGTCATCCAAAACTAATAAAGCCCATTGGTTGTCCAATCAACAGAAGCACCCATTATTGTAAATCTAAGAATAGGTTGGAGTCATCCAAAACTAATAAGGCCCATTGGTGGAGTCATCCAAAACTAATAAATCCCATTGGTGGAGTCATCCAAAACTAATAAGGTCCATTGGTGGAGTCATCCAAAACTAATAAAGCCCATTGGTTGTCCAATCAACAGAAGCGCCCATTATTGTAAATCTAAGAATAGGTTGGAGTCATCCAAAAACTAATAAGGCCCATTGGTGGAGTCATCCAAAACTAATAAAGCCCATTGGTGAAGTCATCCAA